TGATGGTAATGCTGATTAATGAATTAACGTCAAACTCACACATTTCTAAAATGTTCCCTATGTGTGATATTGTCCCCACCAAGAACTGAACCAGAACCACCCAAATCCACACAGAGTATAACCTTAAAAACACAACATTGAGAAAAGAGTGCCTTTCAAATATGTATGGGGTGTTTGGGGTTTTCCTAATAATTGAGGAGCACTGCTGGTGGGGAGTGGTTAAGGATGCTGGATGTTCAGTCCTGGACACGATGGTCTACACAATGTATGATTGCGCTTTATCCCACACGACTCTCAACTGTCCTTTTGTGACTAAGGTAAATGTAGAGTAAAGATAAAATACCATTGCATACCATGTTTCCTTTGACCTTTAGCTTTCTGAGGAGTTCCTAGACAGACCAAGTCAATCAGAGTTAGAGCTTTATGGCATAGCCAATGATTCTAAGGCTTTGTGGTTGTAACAGAGGATAAGAAGTATGTGCAAACCACTTCCTAGATAGGCTTACAGTGGGTGACAGGAGAGAAGAAAGAGCACTCCGTTTCTTTGGACAGGATATACCCTTAGAGCCTCAGAAATAGCCCAGTGAAGGCGTCACAGATGCTAGAGTGGTAATTTGTTTTGTTTTGTTTTGTTTTAGAATGATACGGCTATCAGTAACAGAATATCCAATTAACAGTGGCTCCCATAATAGGAACATTATTATATTACCCAATAAGGGGTTCAGAGAAGCAGTATCTCAACTTTCTGCTCTGCCATCCATATCTTCTTTCCTATGTCTCCCCCAATGGTTAAGGCTGGCTGCAGTAGTTACACACATCATATCCTCCCATCCACAAATCCCAGGGAAAAGAAAGAACAGGGACACAGATATTTTTCCCTCACATATCTCTTTTCTTTTTTCAGGGGAAAAAAATTGGTTTCCAAGAAGTCCTCAGAAATGATCGCTTTGTATCCTATTGGATAGAACTGGTCACATACTTAATCAACCCTACACCTGAAACTGGCTAAGGGAAATGGAAATACCACTGGCTTAGAATACTCGTAATTCATTCCCCAGGTCTGGGCATACTGCTGCCTGCACAAGATTGGGTTCTTTGGTTTTTCAGGAAGGAAATGGGGGAAGCGATTGTTTGACCTACAGATATACTACATTTTTTACCACCAAGATTTCAGAGTCTCAAACTATTAATTTCCGCATTCATGGAAGAAAGAGAAGGAAATTGGCACTTCTTTCTCTCATTTTCTGCCTTATTGCTAAAAAAAAAAAAAAGGAAGGTAAGTTGAGTGGAATTTTTCAGAAAATGGAATCATATTGATTATAAATTCTTGAAAAGCCTGATCCAACAACCAGGAGACCCGAGTCTGCCATCAGTTAGTCACGGAGACTTGGGCAAGTCACTAGGGCTCGGTTTCTCCACCGATAAAGTAAGAAAGATTGGCTTAGATTAATTACTAGGAGGTCACTTCTCGTTTTAAGTTTCTGCGTGGCTTTGATTGAGCAGCTAAGTTACACAGGATGGTTTGCAAACTAAAAGTAATTTTATAACCAGTTTGTAACTTAAAAAGGAGAGAGTAGTTAGGAGAGATTCAAGCTCACCATTCAGAGTTATATTTTGACTAGCATAATTGCACTCAGGTACTTTCTTTATGGGGAATCTATCAGGGAAGAAATGTTTTTAAGACAGTCTTCCCAAAAGAGTGCTACTAAGTGGTCTGGGGGGAAATGAGTTCTGAGATATAAATAACTTTAGGAGGTGCTGGATTAATCACAGTTAAATAGATTTCTTTATCGCTGAATTTCCCACAGGATTTATAATGCTAAAGTGCATCATAAATCTCCAAAAGAGATATATTATCTCCCAACTTTCATTTTGACTATATATGCTTTTTTCACGGAACATTTAATTTTTCCCTATCTGGAAAATAATCACATCGCTTTACATTTATATAGAACAGTACAAATAACAAAATATTTTGAAAGCATCATTGTTTAGCTATATGAAAAACTTTCCTTCCCAAACCTCCTTTGAAACAACTTTTTAACAATTCTGACCCAGTTGATTATAAAATGTCCATTTAATAACACTATTCTAGAACTAGAAAATAAACATTACATTAAATATACATACGGATTTTAGCACACATACCAATTTAATAAATATTAAATAGTACTAACATTTCCTTAGTATTTCAAAAATACAATATTATAGGCAATACACTTTTATTTCTAGTATTTTGACTTATTTCTCAATGATCATTTTTAGGTCACCTTTGTGAAGTATTTCATAGAATGAAGATTTTAGGAAATATACTTTGAGAAATGTTAGTTTAAGCTATTTTTCCAAATATGTTATAATAAGTTGTAGATACATTTAAACTCATTTTAAAGATGAAAGAGCAGGAGGACAACAGTAGGAAAGAGCAGGGAAATTTTTACTGCTTATAAAAATAAGTCAGGCAAGGATAAATTCCAGGCAGGGATAACACTAAAACTGTTAGCAGACCAAAATCTCAAACTCTAAAGTAATCTTTGGAGAAGGGTAACCGCGGGCCCTCCAGGACCAGTTCAACTGACCCCATCTTATCACCAGAGTGGCTAAGAATTGCCTTTCAAAAAATTTGCAAAGTCACACAGCCACAGCATGAGCAGAAGAAGAAATCTTGACCTGAAATCATCACGGAACCAAACATTCTCCTCTCCACAGAACCAAAGGACTGGGACATGACCGGAACTTAAAAGTTGAACCCCTATCAGAAGTGAGGGGCCCATTATTCAGGAAGATCTGGTGTTAAAATTCTTCCCCTATCTTATCATAAATGTTTAGAACCCCATCATAAATGTTTAGAACCTTACCATAAAGACTTGAAGCCCACCAATCAAAACCTGTCCCCCCAGTGTTTCTGTGTGCCAGCCTGTTCTCGCTAACCTCTTAAATTTTGCCCAAAATCCTGAATTGGGGAGACAGATCTGAGGGCACATGCCCCCCTGTCTCCCTACAGATCCATCTTGCAGAATACAACTGATCTCTTTTCCCAAAGGCTGATGCCATAATTAATTGGCTTGTTTATGCACCTTGGGCAAGAGAACCCCAATTTTGTGTGATAACAGAAGATAAACTGCAAAAAACAAGAGAGGATTTCCATTCCTTTGTCATGCAGTTAGTAGGGGATGGGTATTACCTACCTAGAGAAACATCTTGCTAACTAGATCACAGTAGTATCGACAGTAAGAAAGAACAGAGAAGATTTAGGGGCAACTGCGGGGGAAGGGGCAAGCCAGACTCCATTGTTTAGTACAAAATATCTTTCTCATAGGTGTCAGTTCTCCTGAGTATAAACAAGTCATCATCTGCCAATGAACATGGAGTACCATAAGTGGCTTCCAAGCCCTTGGAATTTCAAAATCTAAGAACCTGAAAAGTGGAAAAGAAAGTCCAAGAAATAACCTTGTCCCTATGACAGAGTTTGTAAGTAATAATAATAATGATATGAAATATTTGCTAAGCACATAGTCAGGCTTAGACGTGTTAAATGACTGCCCAAATTCTTGCGAACTTTGACGAGGTCATGAAGAGTCTTTTTAGAGTGCTAATATATGTGTGTGTCCTGGGTGGGGCTGAGAAGACATCAAAAGTTTGCAAAGGATATAAAACTACAATGTATTGGTATACGGACACATCCAATTTGTCTATGATTTTCATTTTAAATTCTTTTTCAGACTAGAATGGTGTTATTTTCCATTTAGCAGTGGTTTAATATCCCTTTATACTTATACTTTTACAATAAAGAATAGTTTAAGTGAAAAGAAAAAATAAATTTCCTTGAGTTTGTAGCCTTACCAAGCTACCTAACTAGACAACGTTGCCATCTAGTGGCCTGAACATACTACAGCCACCACTTTCGGGGGTTGGGGGAGCAGGGGTCCTAACATACCTCTGAGGAGTATGCTCAGTAGTTGCAATGTTAACAGTGATGCCAAAGCCACACCAAGAGCATACGAAGTCATCCAGAGCAAATACGTGTTGACATTTGGTTAGAGAACTCACTCCAGTCCCAAAGCTTTACCAGTTTTCCAGAGAAAAAAGAACCACCACCATTGAAACAAGGTTTTGACCTGCCTCACTTATTTATTTCATTTTCTTTGAACTTTTAAAATCCATTTCTTATTCCTTTATTCACCTACCTGCTTGAAAACATTTTCCAAACATTCTCTTATCTTTACGATATGGATGTTTCCATATATCACCATAGCCAGGTAAAGAAGCAAGTATTGGGTTGGTACTGAGGATCAAGAACTGGACAGGGAGTCAATCTAAGCTTTGATGGAGATCTAGAATCTGTCCTAGAATGAGCAAGAAAGAGCTAGGCTTTGGTCTAAAGGAGATGAAGATTTAACGGACAGGAAAATAGGAAGAGGCTTACAAGAGTGGAGCAAATACAGCTTCAGCTGAGGTTCCCAAAATTCTAGGGATAAATCACTGAGCAAACACCCCTTAGGGCCTCTTCTCTGGTTAATATCAGACACTCACTGCTCCTCCTGATTGGCTGGCAGGCTTATGTAATCCTTTGCTTCTGCAACCAGGCCTCCTATGGCAGCTGCCATCCACATGCCAAAAAGGCCTGGGGAACTATGCCCAGGATTGGACTGCTATCTGAACACCAATGATGGGTTCTTGCCAAGCCCCATCTCTAACCTTACACAGTTAAGATCATGATGGATGTAAGAGTACAAACAAACCAGCCGTTAAGTCTTTTTAGCCCATTTTTGGCAAAATAAGGATAGACACACAGAACATCGGTTTAGATCTGTTTGACTAAGGGAACAGGGAGAGAGCTGGAAGAGGCAATTTTCAAAAATTCAAATGTGTGCTTCAAAATTTGCATCAGAGACTGAGTCATGCCCATGCAAATGGATCTTAGCTCAAATTCATCAGAAAAATCTGGAACACACTTCCTTCCCCTACGAAAATCTCCTACGAAAGCAGCTGTTGGTTCTTACCTATAATAAAAAGAATCTCCACTGCAATGTCACTGACTGTTGTGCTCCGAGTCGTGGACAGGTCATCGTTGCCGATAAAGCAAACGTTGTAAGGTACAGTCACGGCAACATAAAACGTCGCCAACAGAATAAGCCAGTCCCAGCCAGCTTTAAAAGTGCTAAAATGCAAAAGTATGAATTTGGACTTTTTTGCATCAGAAACTTTATACTCCGGAAATGCTGGTTTATCTACAAAAACATTCTGTGGATAAAGACAAAAGGGAGAGAAGGGAGACACAACATTAGAAACACGGATCATACAACCTTAAATGCACATTTCTGTGAGACGGATCATTCATGTATACAACGTCAATATATCTCACAAGCGACTTTTAAAAGTTGGTGATGCAAAAAGTAAGGATGTATATGTTACAATTGAGCAGAAGTCTTTGTTATAAGGCACAGGAAGACGCAAAGTTTAGTCAGGAACGTTAAGTGAGTAATCCAGATTTGTTCACTAAAAATTAAAAAGACTATTACCTAAAATGCCACCTAACAACATCCACAGTTGCAAGTATAATTCTACACACATTATAAACACAAAGATGTATTTATATTTCTATTGTCATGGGGACATTCCATATACTTATAATTTTGAGATAACAGTCATTAACCAAAGAATATATTTGACCTGAAACTCTTCTAGTGACTGCAAAGGTACCAATTTTTTTCCTAGGAAAGGATAGAGATATATGATCAACTTTCTATTGTAAACAGTTGTTTACATTTCTTTCAAGTGATAACCAGTTTGTGCTAACTACTTGCATTTTTGCCTTGTGGCTGTTGGTGAAGTTTCAAACTGGGAACCCAAATCTCATAACCTAGGTTGACACGGATTGATTCTGACCCTGGCTAGCCCTTGTTAAGATGGCAAAGGGAGGACCAGTTACTTAAGAGTTATTATTCAAGTCATGAGAGGAGAAAGACAATGCTCACTGTGCAGCTGATTAAATGCAGAAGAAGAGCTGGAATTTTTATAACAGCAAAAGCACTTGGCTTTGAAAGCAGTCTAAATTGATGAACAATTCTCCTTATTGCTATGAGACAAAGGGAGGCCCAAGAACAGCATGCGTGGAAATTTGACGAGCCTATGACCAGATGCTTGCAGACCTTGCTCTGACCTCAACTAATAAGAAATTCAAGATAGGTAATGGAAACTTAAATTTGAAAGTGAAGTTGAATGAACAGAACAGTTAAAAGTTCTGGAATGCATGTTACTTGCAGGTCACAGTGTGCTTTCTTGTTTTATCCATTGAGGGAAGAGCAAATTAATGAGGTATGTTCAGGGATTCCTGAAGTACTTGAGGATTCACGAAAGGTTCAGAGCAATCAGGAAAACTTAGTTCTTTACTGGTGACTATCAGTGACCAAATAGTTGTGCTGCTTTATTACTAACGCACGCCCTATCTTGCATCTCTCCTTGGTAGGCATTCCCAACACATGTTTCTACTTCCTGTTAATATTCTCACTCAACCCACACAGGCACCTCATAACGCCAGGATTTCATGGTGAGGGACTGCTTCACTACTTCCAGATGGTTCTTTGATGCCAATCTGCCACTATGTGTATTTCCCGTTGAATTCCCTGATTCTTGACCTGCCTCCTTTGCCTCATTCTCTGGTTTCTAGGAACAGTTTCCAACAGTGGATTTTGCTAAAAAACTGAGAAGCAGAGAATGAAGTACAACTGTTGGCCTTCTCATCAAAGCTTAGGCTGGTACATAGGAGAAGAGAGGGTTAGGGTCCATAAGTATTCATCTCCTCAAGGTTGATGAGCATTTCTACCTACAGTAGGACATGATGGATTCTAATATAATTATTTTTCAAATATTTGCTACAATAAGATATTACCAGAAGCCATAGGGAAATATGTCAATTTCTATCCAAATAAGTCTTTTCCTACCATGGTACAGAAATTAAAATTTTACGCTGTTTGAGGGAGAAGCCAGCTTTAGGAGTGAAAGCTGGGAAAACTCAAGAAGTAAAGTATTTTCTTTGGTTTATTCTAATTATATGAAGCATTCGTGATGTTGATTCAAAAGGCCAGCAATATATTAGTTATCTCCACAAATCAGAAAATAAATCACACTATCTTGTTTTTATAGGCTACTTAAAGCATATTATTTAAAATTATTTCAAAAGATACTGAGAATCCAATACATCTCAGATTAGATTTAAATTTTGAAAGGTTTTTGGCTCACATCCTGCATACATCTTGACACCATCACCTGGGTGAAAAAAGAGATGCTCTCCTCCTCCCACCACTGTATTTGCAAAGTTTTATCAAAAATCTTCAGAATGGAAGAAAATTTCTTACAATTGGAAAGTGTGCTTTTAGTAAGTAAGGGAAAAAAGACATTATGTATAACCCTGAAACATTTGGAGATTGCCTAAAGAAGAATACACCACTATTCTCGATTTTAGTTATGTATTATTCACTAATTTTGAAGCATATTCTTTACCACCAATGGTGTTTTAGCTGTTTAACCTCTACCCAATGAATTACTGAAACACAATGAATAAGACCAAAGGCTAGCTAAGGTAATTGTTTCTTAAATAATTTTTGCAACATTTCTTTGAAACTGACTTCTGAACGAGCAAAGGGAGGGGGAAATGTTTCTACAGTCACTCCGCCGAGTAATTCCAGCATAGGGCATGCCTTCGATGACGGCCAGCACAGTACCTTGCTGGTAACATTCAGGCATTTAAAGTATTCTCCTTTCAAGCCCCCAAGACTCTCATGTGATCTTCAAATTTGTGTGGGAGACACTTGTGTCATCCCAATGCCGTGGAATAGAGGAACAAATCAAGCGAAGCAGAAATTAAACACCTTTTCCAAGATATACCAGGCAAAGTTAGAGCCCAGCCTAAACGGTGTTACATCTGATTTCCAAACCGTGCTAATAGCCTGATGAGTTAGTTTGTTCACAATTGAATCATATATTCCTGTTCCACAGAACTGGATCAGAGAGGCAGCAAGGGAGGGCAGAAACACAGTGGTTTTGAGTCAGAGGATTCACAGTGGGCCCCACATGTGCTGCTTCTACTCGTGAGATCTCAATAAGTTGTTCTTTTCCATCATTAAAATGGAACTAGGAAAACTCATATCTAGTCCTGGCCTGCTGTAAGAATCAAATATGATGTAAGAAAAAGGAATTTGTAAATAGCAAAGAGCTACAAAAATATTAAGAAATCTTCTTTGTGTGTGTGTAAATGTTAATATAACCAGAATTCCCCAAAGACTGATTGTTTAGCCAATAAACTATCCAGATCATTTCTTCCTCTTCTTCCTTCTCTCTTCCTGCTGTCTTTTAGCCATTCTACTCTGTTCTCCTTGAAAGGAGATGGTGAACAGAGTCAGTCCTGATTCCATACTTTGCTTTCAGAAGTAAGATGTTACCTCTATTGTCAGAGTCACTGTGTTGATTAGATGTCCTTAATTATTATGTATTAATTTAATGCTCAACTCTGATGTTTGTACTTCTTAAATGAATGGCAATTTAGCAAATTAGCTAAGCAGTGGGAGTTATGATTTTTCAAGCCAGATTTTTAAGTACTGTTCTGTACTTTGTTGAATCTAAAGGGAAAAACAGCATGTTCAACAAATGCGTTTTAAAGCTCACTAATACGTGCTATATTTATGTGATTCTCAACTAAAGGCTGGAAGAGTGTCGGCTTTCAGCATTACAGGATCTCTGGCTAATATTTGATTAGGTGCTTTGCTGGTTGTCTTGCATAGAATCAAGCCCAGATGTGGTTACCTTTGTTTCCTCCTAGAACTTGTTTACTGTCACTAAGGCTGACTTGGTAACTGAAGGGAGATGTAAATAAGAACCACTGGAAGGATCCATAGATCAAAGGGTACGCACTGTTTCAAGTTTATTCCTGGACTCTCAGGAAATCAACGTGACACTAGATATACCTAGAAAATCTTTACATTAAGTCAGGACAACAGAAGCAGTGTGTGACTCTTAACAGTGGTGCATGGCAGATCAGCACCAGCACAGGTGATGGTTCTGGAGCACAAACGGATCAAAACAGCTTATTCTGGCTGCGAAGGAGGAGTCACATTGAAGCAGAACCAGGTTTGCAGCACCTTCATGTCAGATCTCGCTCCTCGCCTTTCTTTGTTCACTACAATCAGACAAGCAGATACTTTGTACGTCTGATGCATGACTCTGTTTATCACAGCATTTGTACGTCAGATTCATAGTCTTGAGCTTTCTACATAAGAAATAAGATGCCAAAGAATCCTCCTGTGTTCCTAAGTCCCAGAACTTTTGGGTCTTAGATTGATTCCAACATAGCTCTGGTTATTTATGTGGTTTTTCCTGTCATCGGCAAGTTAGACCCTGAGTATTTATATTTGCCACCCATAGGCACACAGACCCTCAAAGCTGTGTATTCTGAACATTACACAATGCAAATGCAAATTAACGACATTCCCATGATTTGAAAAATTATCTTTGAATATCTCCAACTAAACAGACATCGTTCTGGGTTTCTCAGGGAAGTCTCTCAGTGCTAAGAAGCAATTAAGAAATTAAGCGTGAAATCCTGGAGGATGTGTGTCATGTAAAACTCTGCAAAGTCTTATCTTTTATAGGCAGAGTTATTTGCTGTGGCTTTTGACAGATAAGTACCAGGTTTCAGAAAGCAGTCCTACTGTAATTTATATGAGTACAACTTTTTACAAAACTGCATAATGTATAGCATGTAATTCCAAATCCAGTGTTCCACTGCATGAAATACCCAACTGTGTTTTGTATAAAATGCAAATTTTTAAATGGAGTAACAACTTTGATTTGTTCATGGTCCCCCTGGATAAAAGCATTAAGTTAAATTAGATAAAGTGCAAAATAGATGGAAGTAAAATTAAATTTGAGAAATTTTAAACAACAAACTGAATGTGTAATATGACTTGCTGCATCATCTTGTTCATAAAATGTAACCAGTATGTCCCCGTTTGCAGTGTCCCCAGTACCATATTGTACTGACTGCAATAATATTCTAATCTCTGTGCTGTGATAACACTATGATTAAGCACTTTTATTACAGAAATGCCTCATGACTGCTGACCTTTTCCAGTTTGTTCTTTGTAGGAAAGCACAAGCCAACTTGAAAAAAATCTAGGAAAGCCAGTAAATGAGTAATTGGAGCCTTTCTTTAGCGAATCAAACATTGCCACCAGGGGAAACCCGAGTGTTCATAGTGTACACACATACCACCTACATTATTTATTTTCAGTTTGTTCTTTTCTCTTCTTTGCAGGTGCCCAGAGATGTGATAAAGGACCGCTCGACTCCGTCTCCGGGCTGAGTCAAAGTGGGTCCCTGCTCTTGATCTTCCTTTGGCTTTGTCTGGGGGAAAATAAAACTAATTAAGCACCAATGAACGCATTATTTCACGCCAAGAATGTCAAGCTTTAACAGTTTCCCTTCAAGAGCACACAGTACATGTTTTTCAACACCTAAAATTATTTTCTGGCTCCCAATGACGTTAATTGTAGTCCTTTACAATATATATATTTTTGTCATCATGTTAACTTCATTAATTTTTTAAAATTAAAGTAAAGCATACATGAGAATAGAGAAATTTTCAAACAGTTCAGAAAAGCATTAAAATAAAAAATGTTACTCCTTCTTTCCTGCTATTCCACAGTCATCTCTGTAATTCTCTCAACTTTTTTCTTCATTTTTTTCCAGAAAAATATCTAATACATATGCTATAGCCACATTTATATTTGTTTCTTTGCATAAATGGAAGTTTACAATAAAAGCTGTTTGCCTATTACTTTTTTCACATCAAAATAATGCAAATCATTCCAAATATGCACATTATAGTTCTCTCTCGTTCTTTTTTATAGCTAAGAGTACATTGTGTTAAGGATATAACTAGCCTTAGTTATTTTACTATTTCCCTATCATGAACATTTATCTAGAATTTTAAAAAAAAACCTGTGTAGATAATCCTGCAATAAAATTCTTGAGTGCAAAGAGCTTTGCATTGGTGTGCCAAGATATTCAGTAAATAAGTTACTAGCAGTGGGTATGTACATTTTAAATTTTGATATGCATAGTTCAAATTTCATTCCAGCAATTTACACTCCCAGCAACAATGAATGGTTGTGCCTGTTCACCACACATACATCAAAATTACGAAACATAAAATGTGTTGCCTAACATTTTGATAGTTGAAAAATGCCATATTATTGTTTAAATTTGCATTTTAAAAATGATGCTTGTGGGTGAACATTCATTTAAATATTTATTGTCCATTTGCATTTATTTTTATGAAGTCTAGTCATGCTATTTTTTCCAATTTTGAAGTTGGTACTTTTCTACTTATTTGTAAGAACTCTTTGTATACCAATCACCACTTTCTTGTCATAAATGCTGCCAACAATCTTACCATTTCATTACTTGACTTTGGATTTTATTTATTTATTTACTTACTTATAAGTCTGTTCACTTGTGGTGTCTAAACATTTATGCCCTGCATAGCGAAACTGTCTTTGCTCAAAAATTATTTTTAAAAATCTATGCATGATTTTTTCCAATATATTTATGTCTTTACTTGTTTGTTTTTAACATTTAAATCTTTAATCCAATTGTGCTCTATTTTAGAAAAATTAGATAGGAATCCAGCTATTTTCTTTTCTTTCAAAAAGCTACTGCCCAAGAGAAATAAATAAATTGATTATATGACATTAAGAAGCATTTAGTCTTTATTTGGTCACCTGGTGAACATACAACTTCATCCTAAATAAATTGTATCTATATCAAAGTGATTGCAAAATATAAACATTAAAAACTCTTATTTATATGAGCTTCATCATCACGTCTCCATAGTATTATGAAGGCCGTCTGATTCCTCTTCTTCATAAAAATGATTTGCTTTGGTTGCTATGTTGGAGAAGCCATGTAACTATTATTGATGTCTCCTGTGTGCCAGGCTTTGTTCTAGAGGCTCAGTATTAATAAATTTCAATTAATCCTCATAAATACTCAGTGAGATAAGCATTATTATCCTCCACTTACAGACAAGAAAACAGAAAGGTCTAATATCATGTCATATGATCAAGCAGCTAGTAAGGAGCAGAACTAGTATCTGACTTCTTCCACACGCAGCATCAAGTACCTTTATGACTTCAGTCATGTCCAGGAAAGCTGCTTGGTGTTGTCACATAGACTAAGACATATCCTAATATCCTAATCCCTGTCCATCTGAGCTTGGACTCCAAGTCTTACAAGGACTTTAACCACCCCTCATTCCCACTCCATCCCAGGATGCTTTTAATGACCAGAAAGTAGGATGTTTTATTCACTGCAAAAGTCTAACCTGATATTACATGTTTTTTAATTGTTTACCTGTTGCTTCATACTTTGAAAGAATGTTTAAAATAAAATACATTACTATAGGCTTGAATCACTAAAAGATTAAAAAATACAAAGCAGAACATCAAAGAGGACACTTCTTTTTGAAACTCATGGCTAACAAAAATGCATTTCACTGTGCTACTAAAAGCTAAGATCAAGTCTTCATGTGTTCAGATTTTTGCTCTGCATGGAACTCTTAGAAATTGCATCTGAAAATGTAATCAGTAATCCATCAAGGAGTAATTTTAAATATATTTAAATTTGAAAACAGCCAGAGTTTTAGACAACGTCTGCAGAATGTGGTAGGAAAGGCCAGGAGGCTGCTTGTGCAATATCAGTTGGTATCAAAAGGCCAGGTGGAATCACAATGCCAGCTACAAATTTGGCCAGGTTAGAGATTTATGACAGTCAATCAGCTGGATCCTTCTTAGAGGAGAAATCTAATTAATAGCTGACACTTTCCAAATCAAACAACAGCAATTTTATAGTCATAAAAAAGGACCCTCAAAGGAAAATAACAAAGAAACGTACCTTGGTCTGGGCTCTAAATGGAAGAAAAAAAATTCTTTGAAAAATTTTAGTCACAATTTAATATTCATGCAAGATTGGGATTGAAAATCATTCCACTTAGGTGATCTAAAATCTCCTAAGCAGAGGAAAAAACTTTGAAATGTCCTGGGTTGGTGACTCCCGAATGAAAAAAGTCACAAATAGCATAGGGAGCAACTCATTAAAAAATATATTTATGCATATATGTGTATACGCACAAAATATTCATGACAGCATAGTTGCAATTTGTATATATACACAAATATATACATATGTATGTAATATACGTGAGTGTTTGTATGTATAACTAGAAACAAATCACGTCCATAAACAAAAAATGCATAAATTGTGATATAGTCATGACACAGGATATTAAAATTCCATTAAACTGGACTTACTTGGGAATAAATGAAAAATGAATGAAATAGTACTTATCCATTAGCACAGAAATAATTCAGAAACATAATATTGAGTACAAAAGCAAGAAACAGAAGAACACAGAGAGCATGGCAACATTTTTATAATATTCACATACATGCAAAACTAAATAACACATTATTCAGAGAAATGGATGTGCTGTAAAACTATACATAATTACATGACTATACTATAGCTAGCTGCAAATAGATTAGAAAATATAGTTGGAACACCATATGCCTTATTAAATGGTATTAGTAAAATTCTATTTCTTGAACTCAATGTTGGATAGATGGGGACTTGTAATAATATTTTTATATTATATATATATTATATATATATTATATTTGTGAATTAAAAAATATTTCACAACAAACAAAGGACCAGACTAAAGTGGTATGAGATCATTTAACAGCGGGATCTGATCAAATACTTTGGAATTTGGGGGGGGGGGGGGGGGTTGGGGAGGTGGCATCAATTGCTTGAGATGAGTGACTCAGCGTTAAAATCTGAAGGACGAATAGCTGTTAATAAGATATGATGAGGGCTAGCAGAGGAAAGAACATTCCTGACAGAGCAAATAACAAGCGTGAGGGCCTTGGGCAGCAAGGAGTGCAGCATCTCTGAAAAACTGAAAGACGTCCAGGAGGGTTTGGATATAGAGAACGGGAGGAAGAGAAATAAAAAAGGAAACTAGAAGGGAAGCAGAAGCCAGACACATCACCTAGGGCCTTTGAGGCTACATTAAGAATTTTGCTTTTTTACTTTAATGAGATGGTAAAAGTATTAATTAGGGAACAGTCTAAGCTGCTCTAGCAAAAAGACCCTAAAATATATGTATGTCATGGCTTGAATGAGAAAACAATACACTCTGTGTACATTTTTCTGTCTCATTTCTTTTCCTTTCCTGTAACAGAGCAGGCGTTAGTGATCTAAAGTGGTGGAGCAGCTCTGCCGTTCTTCACCAGTGGCCTCCATCTTTGAGTCTAAGGCAACTCCTCTATAGGGAGAAGGAAGAGGAAGCAGAGGGCAAGAAGCTTCCTGTGAGGGAGCTGGAAGTTGCCACATCACTTTTACTCACACCATGTTAGCCACACTCAGCTACAAGGGAGGCTGGGAAATAGAGCCCCTAGATGGGTAGCCATGTGCCCTGTTAAATCTTAGTTGTAAGTTGGAGAGGGTTCTATTATTAATGAATGAGTTCTGGGGGACCATTAACAGTTCCTACACATGAAGCCATAGGAAGGTTTTAAGCACTCAATGGACAAAAGAAAGTTGGAGTTTTCAAAATAACACATTGACTTGCAGCATGGGAATCGATTAGGCGGAGTCTGTAGGGGTTGTTAGGAAGTTGCTCAGGAGGCCACTTGAGTAGATCAGTTGAAACACAGCAATAGCTTAAACCAGAGTGATCACCATAGAGGTGGAGCGAAGTCGACACATTTGAAATACATTTTGAGAGTAAAGTTGCCTGGCTTTGTTACTTAATTGATTGTGAAATTACTTAGCAAGAGAGTTCAGAGTGAGAGGAGAAAAACTAGGTCCTCCAAAATGTAATAGGTCAACAGTGAGGAAAAAAGGAGTTTGAAGAGGAGAAACACAAAGAGGAGGGAAATGGTAAAGGTGGTGCCAGAGAATCTAAAGGAAAATAACATTTCAAGAAAGAGAGAGAGGTCATAGTGTCTTCATACCTCACTTCGAGTGATCCTCCTTGGGTGGAAGAAACATCCCATCCTTCTCTTATAATAGGAGGGAAGGAGGAGATTGACTATACTTGGGGGTGAACAGGTGGGTTTGTTGCAGAAGATGAGGTAGCTACTGTCTGAGAGCTTCTCCCTCCCTCCCTCCCTCCTGCCCTTTCTCCCTCCCTTCCTTCCTTCCTCATTGACTTTGGAGGTAAAGTCAAATGCTAAAGATGAGGGGTAATTAGTGGGAAGTGGTGGTTTGAAGATAGTAAGAAACGCCTGAAATATTTGTTGTTGAGGATGGGTGGTCAAGCCCAGTAGGGAAAGAGA